ATTAACGAGGTCTTACCTTTTAACGTGTGATTCCTAACACGGGTTGGACGGTAGCAAGTGAAGATCGATCGTTCAGACTAGGGCTTGAACCACCGACCAACACGGCAGTCAATTCGAGTGAGTGAACAAAGCACCCACGCCGAACCGCTTGGCTACCGACTGACCATATATATATACACAATAATAATTGAAATGCAAAGAAAGCGTAAATTTGCTTAGGTCACGCACTTAAGGGCAGAAATTGGCCCTTGGAACAAACTGAAAAAATCATTATGGCCCGAAGGCTTCAAAGTTTGGAGACCCCTGCTATAGAAGAATAAAAACTGAGGGAACCACTTGAAAAAATTGAATTTGTAGATGATTTGCTTACTGTTTTTGGGATTGTTTCTGTTGTTGAACTCAAAACATCATCACCACTGTCTTCATTCAAATCAGAAAAAAATATATCAAAAATTTTGAAGTATCACATTGAAAATGTCAATGAGGTAATTCAACCTTTAGCAAATCATTTCCAATTATGAACAGAAATCAGTTTGAAATATTTATCAGGAACTGACTATTCAACAGTGATGGTTTTGAATTGCTCTTGACCTTCAAAAAATTAGTTGTTTTCCAAATAACGACTAGGAAAGTGAACAAGCAATAAGCTGATTTTTTTTTCAGATTGCCGGGACTATAGTGACTTATGAATTGGTGTTGATCCAGTTCAACATGGGAATATTAAAACAATCAAATATTGGACCATGAATGAATTAAATATTTTTTTTATTTGATGTGTCTCATTTCATTCTAACTAGTATCGAATTGGTAAGAAAAACGTACTACTTTAATAATACAGAAAAAAATTGATGGATATTGTTTGAAATTCGAAGTATTCAACATCAAATGAGATCACTTTTTGAATATTGATCAGCTTCAATTTAGTTTATCCAGGAATGAAATGATATGAAAAAGAGGCAACCGTGATTTGGGACAGATTGAAGATAAACTTTCCTCTAAGGCAGGCAAGAATATTGCAAGAGGATGATTTGGAGGTCTCTACATAGAAGCAACAGCGTAATTTTTTTCTCAGACTTATTCAATTGTTTCATTGAGAATGTTCTATATTGAAGTAGCTCTGAAAATGTTCCTGATGAAAATTGCAACACCCCCTTCCCTTCTCCCTCTATCTTTATGAAAAATTTGGTAACCATCTAAACAGATATCCTCATTTGTTGTATATCGAGTAAGCCATGTTTCAGAGACGGTAATGATATCAAACTTTGAATGTACCGCCTGCTTGAATTCGACGAAACCATTCAAAATTGATCTCGTGTTTATGTGACAGAATGTTATGCTGCGCATATATGATTTTTTTGTTGAAAATATTTGTTTGTCGAGGAGTATTTCGAGGAAATATCAAACAAACATCACATACCTACCGTAGAGAAATATATTTTTCAAGTAACATTGTTTACCCAACCTAATGCATGCTGAAAAAATATGTCCGAGGAACAATTACTACCAAAACATGGCAAGCATGGAAAATACTTATGTTTTTGTTTCTGTTCATTCACGGGACAAACATTTCAGAAAAAAGTGTCTGAATGGCACAATAAAAACAGTGAAAGCGATATAAAAATGGTTATTATCGAGTTTGCGGTACCAAGTTCATTAGTGGATATGAAAACATTATCAGTTCATTAGCCTAATCAAAACAACCAGACGAGCTCAGCCTAAATTCATTAATATACTAGTATCTGCCTATTCAGGTACATGAATACAGTTGTTTCTATACAAGTGGAGAAAGTCAGCAGAACTCATCAAGGTACGTAAATGTGAAAAATTAACCTCTGATATTTCTATCAATCCCAGGAATGGCACATCGTGTGTTCTTTAACAAAGAGTTGGTTGTAATTTATTATAGTACTTCTGCGGTGAGTCAAGTTCAAGTTAATATACGAAATTCGTACAAATCACAATAACAGAAACAAAATTTCTGTAATGCGAGTCTAATTGAACCAATAGAACTACTTTTCAGTTGAAAACACTTTTTTCAGACCAGAACATCTTTGTCATCCTTACTGAAGACGACTGACACTATTTAGTCATGTCTTGATGATGCTAACTTGCCAACTTTAATCGGATTAATTTCACTCGAGAAATTTTCATTAATGTTTTCCTGTAGCTCTCACTACAAATGGGCGATGACATGGTCATACCTAGAAGTCGTATTTACCAAGGATTAACCTCAAGTGACTTTTTGGAGCTTTTGAATTCTTTTGATTTCAACCGAATGCCTACAAGAAGTATAAAGAACATCGCAGCAATTTATTCTGGATAACACTAGGGTCACATAGTAAACTTTGACATTCTTCCATTCAACAACTATATATTTTTAAAAATCAGTTCGGATTAACAGCATTCGTTGTGTGAACTTGTGCTGAAATGTTAAGAAAAACTCATACCTGGGTCAGTCCACGAACCCAGATTCTTAACTTCATTAAAAGATGTTGAAGGACCCCCCTCCAATCTGAATGCTACCAAAGTTGTTCGCAACAAATTCTTTTTTAGGATTCTTCCTACCAAAAACGACTGAAACGGTTTTATTTGTATACAGTTCCAGGCAATGGTTCATAAAAATTTGAACAAGATTACACATATCAAAATTCAAAGCACTGAGTACTGAGAATACTCTTCAGTATTGAATGACGAATATAATCATGTATCACCAGCATAACAGTGCTGCATGCATGTTTGGAAGGACTTAGGAAAATTGCAAGTATATAGATTGAAGAGTAGGGGCCCCAATACTGACCCTTGTGGTACCCCTTCATCAATTTTTGAAATTTTTGTGTGCTGCGTGTTTTTCGAAATCAGTTCCAATGGCTAGCTCAGTATCACCGGTATATTGTTTGTGACTGTTCTCACGGCTCATCAAATCTTATCAGACTCCACATTTTTCAACATATTGTCTTTAGGCTTACCTAAAATGTGTTGGAGTGGCGGAAAGTATCAAAGGCTTCTTTCACGTTCAACTTTTCGAAAACACCATTTGTATCTCTGCACTATTGATTAATTTCAACCACTTGCGTTTCAGAAATGGATCCATCCAAAAATGTTTTAATATTGATGAGAAAATCCTCTTCGAATAAATTCCAAGTCGCTATGAAATTTTCTATGAGAGTGGCACAGTGTTTCAGCTACTTTCCCATTGATCTTGGCAATGGAAATCTCACCACCCAACCAAAATTCAAGTGGTTATATTGGAGAGTAGCCTATTGCCTGACGACGTTCATCATGTTTATTTTGGAATTTATCTTTGTCATTAATCATACAGCTAGGATGCCTTTCAACTTCTTGAATATCAGTAAGTATTTATTGTTTCTTCTTTGATGTAGTTGAAGGATACCAATCACTTTGGAGGTTATGTTTGAAACAAATTGCTGATGATGATGATGATCAGGTGGATGCAGTCAATGTTCAGAAATAAATCAGTTGACTAATCACTCATTGAGGAAGATGTCAACTGAAAAAAAGTTACAAGGAGGAGTTTTATTGCCGGTGGCACACAACCCAAGGCACACAACCCAAGGTTGTGCCCCTTGTCTCCAAACCACTGAGAATCATGGGGCCATCTACGTTATTGACAGCAGAACAGTATTGATTTCGAAAGATCAACTTGAAGCAGCAACTTGTTTTGGCAGTCTACTCATATTTCTCAGAGTAGTGAAAACGTCAGCAATGTTTTTCATACTGATTTATTGGGTGATTATTGAAAATTACCAAAAAACTTCAAGTGAATTAGTTCAGGAAGGTAATTGGGCTGATGGTTTCACCGATGAAAAATTGGGCAATTGTTAGCGAAAGTCGAACTACTGAAACGGAAGTTACTCTATATGCTGAGAATTACTGTCAATTTCTATGTACTGATCTTCCTGAAATGTTGAAACTCCATCCATTGATCCATCTATATACTTCAAAATAAGCACTGGCGTCTTGAAAAATCATATGTAGGTAAACAGCTGAACAGTATTGACAGCTCTGAAATCATATTTTCGAAAGTCTAAAATGACAGCATTCCAAAAACGACTTTATGACAAAGTGCAGAGAAATCAAGCAATACTGGCGTGGCTGCCATGAAGGAAGGTAACGAAGGAGTTGATGTCCTAGTCGAGGAAAGAATCATGAATATTTCTGCATAATCGAAGTAAGATACCACTGGAATAAACAAAAACAGTAATGAATGTTAATCCGGTCAATCTAGCATTGGAAGGTACATAAATTTACAACAAGCTGCAAATACGTATAATTGTTCAAAACATAGTTAAAAATAGGATTTTAATGCGATGCCTGGAAAAAAATTATTCGAGGTCAGAGGTCAAAAATCTCGAAAAAAATTGTTTTTTCAACTTGTTCATATTATAATCATATTAGACAATGCAAGTCCGAACTAGTAAAATTCCTGCAATGTCCTGTTATCATCTAGGTTAGTTTAATATTTTTTTTTATCAATACACTGTTATCTTTCATTTCGAAAATTCATTAGATAACCCTGAATAAAATACCATAACATCGAAATTTTCTTTCATTTACCTGTCAAATTATTATTCGTTATAATGTTCACTAGATATTTTCCAGTTAATTTAGTAAAAATAATGTCTCTCTCAAAGTGATTGTAAGTCTACTGTCTGATCCAACTTTTCATTCTTTGGCATATTTTTCTGAAATATAGATACTAGAATATTACTGGAGATTTATTCCAATACCAAACGTCATTTTCAAAACCTCGACACTTGTTTCAATCACCAAGATCATCTACACCCAAGGTTCCAAACACTGTATTACAAAAAAATATAAATATTGATCTATTTCAGATAACCCTCCCAGCAAACATATTCTGGTGATGAGTCTGATGAACAATTTAGTTAGCTCTATTTTTATTTCAGAAGTTTTCATCTTCCACCTCTCAGGATTGATACAATTTGTCTTGTTTTTCAAATTGACTTACTATTGGCCGAGATTCGTTGAAGAATGGGAAAAAGTAGAAGTCAATATGAGAAAGTACCAGGTGTTTACAAATCTACGCCTGAAACTGAACCTGATGACTTCATGTTTCATGTTTTACGCAATAGGTAAGACTTATGCACTGAGGACTATTGAATTCATCTTGTTGTACAAACAGACTGAACGAAAGAATTAACAAAACTGTGAATGATAGCTGTAGGATGTTTGGGGTACAAACTGAATGGTAGAAGTGATTTCTTCATGTTACAATGTTAATGAATTTATAAACTTGTGTTCCGATATCGAACAGAAGTGATCTGACCCTACCAAGATCTCATCAGTTGTCCTCTCAACTGTTCTTAGAAGGACAAGTTTGAAAGTGAAGGAGATGAACAGAAAACTCAATTCTCGAACATCGAAGATAAAGCCATTCATCGACCACCGTACAGGATTCGCCGTCTGTCTTTCTCTGAAGCTTTCACTATAAAGTAACTAGACAAACTTGTGATACAACATTTGACAGCGCAGCTTCGACCCACTGAGGTCTCATCAATGGTACCAAAGTCTATCCAAATCCAAGATAGAGTAAAACGAAACAAAACCGAAGCGTGATGTACACGTGATCGCCCAGTATCAGATGGAAAGGGCAGCGTTCATTGGTGAATTCGCCTTCTTGGTACGAGTTCGGTACCAGCACAGGGTTGTAATCAGTCGTTTGCGTGTTTGTGTGGCGTGCGTTATAGTATATTGTTTAAAATTGTTTTCCAAGATGTCCAGTACAGACACTGCTGATGACACTGTGAGCTATCCTCTGAGTCCAGCCAGGAAACGATCCA